AGAGTTTAGAAAAATAGGCTAAATAAAATTATAAATGCTTCATCTTATTAATTTTCTTTTTTTTGTAAATCATTTTTCTGCAAATCTCGATAACTTCTATAAACATCATCATAATATTTCCTAATTATTAAGTCTACAAACACATCTAGAAAATAATTAAACACATAATCCAAATGTTGGTTACAAGTAAACCACTCCAGAGTTACATACTTTTTTATCAAAATTTTAATTTTTTTGGAAAAATGGTTTATATGTCCATTATTGACTAATACAGCAATTACAATATCGTGAATTTCGGCTAAATCTACTATAGATAAAGTCACGTTCAGATGGCAGTGTACGGATATAGGATAACAGCGTTGCCAATTCTACTGCCATTGTAAGTTTTGCTACTTTTGTAAAATAAGCAGGGCCAAACTCACGGTAAACTAAGATATGTTTAGGTAAGCTAAAGTTGTTAATAGAAAATTCGTGAATGAAATAAATGGTAATAATTCCAAAAATGCTTTTATACATAATACCGCAGTTAATAGGGAAAAAAATATGAAAAATATTCTACAGGTTTTTTAATGTTCTAAACGGTAGATAAGGGATAACTGATGATAATTCCTTGAAGAATTACAGCCAATTTTGCTTTGTTTATTTTTTAAAGAAAGATGAAGTTTGGAAAAAATCATTTTTTTGCCTATTTTGTTCCTCGTGCATTTTAGGGAAAAATGTTTCAAATAAATGTTGCAGATCTTAAAAAGTTTTTTAATTTTTTAGTTTGTAAATTAAAATACATAAACAAATGACTGAGATAATTGCAAAAAACCCCTAATTGAGGCCCCTAGAACACAAGGGTGTAAGTGCAGTTGCTTATCACTTAGCAACTGATATCTAACAACAGGCACGTACTTTTGGCTTCAAACTTTCTACATTAACAACAATAACACCATCAAAAATTACATGTCATTGAAAACATGCTGAAAACTGAAAAAGTGCTACCTAGGTTTTTAAATTTATATCGAACTTTGAACAAAGATTTTTCAAAACTTTGTTTTTGGCACTTACACCCCTTGTGTTCTAGGGGCCTCAATTGTGCACTAATTTATTAAATGTTCATAACTTTATTTTTTGCATAATGACGTCTAATATAACTACTTGAAATTATGTCGATTAATGAGTTATTTAAGTGTGCTACATTTCAACCAGATCAACTAAATATTTTATTACCTTTACTGAGAAAAGAATACCCCCGAAAAACAATTTTCAATCATCTTCATTTTCATAATCTAGTTCATCTTCAGAGTCATCGTTTAATGAAATTCTAATAGGTTCAATGTCATCTTGAATGTTGTCTACTGTCCAAAAATTATTCTCCAATTTTATAACATGGTTGACGTAATTTTTCCAATGTCCATTGTTCTGTACTTTATCATAACCTTCATAAATCAATGTTTTAACGTCGTTTTGTTTGAAACTTGAATTCTTAGAGGACACGTACCGTTTCACTTCACTCCACACCATTTCTATTGGGTTCAGTTCACAGTGATAAGGCGGAAGTCTTAAGATATGTACATCTACGCGGCATTGTTCGTCACTGTGATTCCTGTATTTTTCACCAATACAATCAATTTTGTATTTGTCATAAATATTTTTAAATACATTAGCAGTTTCCAGAAGTTCATTTTTTAAGTAATCTTCTTCAAAATAAATGTCCTTTTCATAGAGCCACTCCTTAATTTGACGTTTCACCCAATATTGTTTGGGAAAATTTAATTTCCTAGAGTGATAAGATGCATTGTCCAAGATAATGACATTCTTTTTATTTTTTGGGAGATTCGGTATTAACATCTCTTCAAACCATTTTTCAAATAGATCTCCGTCCATCTCTTCATGGTAATCTTCAGCACCTTTTTTGGCAAGAAAAGTGATGTCAGCACCTTCAACAAATCCGTCTTTGTTTCCTGCATGGACTAAAACAAATCTTGGTCCTTTTCCGGTCGGAGTTTTTAAACCTGTGGTAAGTCCATTTACGAAAGCCTGTCGGCTATTTTTTATTGTTGTATCTTGCCATACTTGCCCATTGGTTATTCCAGTATTAACCCATGATTCGTCCATATAAATGATATTGGCTCCTTCGTTCCTCAGTTTCTTTATTTCCCGGAGATAGTGACGCCTCCAAGCGACTATTTCTTGTTTTTCTATTAATATTGAATTTCTACCTTGTTTGCCATATATAAAACCCATGTCGTGCAATAGTCTTCTCAACGTACTCTTGGAAAAATTCGGAAGATGCTCCATTTGCTTAATTTTTTCTAGTACTACGTCAAGGGTTGGAGGAATATTGTCCATAAAAAAACCGTGCACTACTTGTCTTATTCTAGACCGAGTTGCTTCATCATATCTATTCTCACGACTATTCAAATAACCGGTTCTTTTTTTTCTTATAGGAGTTACGAGTGGACCATTTTTACTTTCACTTCTATATCGGAATATCGTTCGCTCAGAGACTCCAGTCATAGCAGAAACTTCCCGCACTATTGTTGATACACTTTTATCATTATTACTGTTTGATAAATAGTTAAAAACATTTAACACTATTTTTTTGCATTCACTATTTAACAAATTACCGTTTTTGAATTTTATTACACTCGCGGCCATTTTGACACTGACACGACACAAACGTCTGATATCAACTGAAAATTCTTTTAATGACTCTCAAGTATTTACCTAAATTTATAATTGCTGGCATTAGACAATAATTTTGAATTTATAAATAGGTATATTTTTTTAATTCTAAATTATTTTTTAATGTCTGTAACTGTAAAATCAGGTAGAGAAAGTGTGTCATTAAAAGGACATTAAGATCAAAAACGGATTATACAAATAATTATTTCATTTCCACGAATTGTAAACAATTTTGAACAGAAGATATAATTCCGAAAAGACCAGATTTCCGAAATATAACTTTCTATTTTTAAAATACCAACAGAAAAATTATATAATTAAAAAAATGTAGTATTTTTCCGTTTCACATTCATAAATATTTCCGAAATTATAATTCTTTTATAGGAGCCGGCCCATAACGTACGATTGTAGGTACGATTAAAAACTGAAAACAATGTAGTTATTTCTGGCATATAGAAAATACAGGCCTATCTCTGTAACGCTGCCATGTGAATGTGAATTTATCTATACAAAGTTTTTTGTAACATAAGCTAAACTTGATTTCTTATCACTATATTCTTTAAACATTGTAAATGTATGATGTGGTTCTAAAACATCAGATATTAAATCAGCTGCACACAGCTCACATTCTTGAATTATTTTAATTTTTTTTTGTTATATACCCAGCAACATATGCTAATGTGTTGTCACCATGACCTGTAACATCTGTATCAGGTAATGGTAGAGCTAGATGTTCTATTTCATTTACCTCTAAAAGATCTAAATCAATAAAATCATTGTTGGTGATTGAACTATCCAAAAAGTCTTGCAAATTATCAAGAATAGAGCCGTCATCTGTTTCGCAATTTTTATTTGAATTAGGAGTAATTAAGTTATTAAGAACAGATGTTTTAAATGCTGATATAAACTGGTAGCAATTTGGATTTATATTTTCTGTTCCTAGATGACGAATAGAAGCAAATGAGTTTTCTAAAGGATCTTGATTTAAAGAACGGGTTCTTAAAAACTTAAATCCCAGATCTTTACAAATATTTCACAACTCTTTTGTTGCTACAATAGTAGTTAACCACCCTGACTTAAAAGGCATTACCTTCTTTTTCACTTTCTCATCAATAAACATCCAGCTATTAATTTTTGGAAGAAGACGATTCCACAAAGCGAAATAAGGAGATTTATTAGACATACACCTACGATAAGGCTTTCCACATTCAGGCTTTATTGTTCTGCCATTAAAACTATCAAAAAGCTGATCTACCTATATCATGCACAAATTCAGCAGTTTCGATAGCTTTGAGATTGCAAAATGATAAACTAATAATATTACCTACATACAATACAAATACCATAAATTATAACTAAACACAGAAGAACCTTTAGTAAAGAAAGAATTTTGTATATACAAATAAATATACAATATGATTATGTATAACCTAAAACTCTATGCTAAAAAGTCATTGTCAACAATGTAAATTTTCATAGTACAATCAAAATACTTTATTGTACCATGGTAAATTTTAGTTTCATAAACAGCAGCGCCCCGATGTGCTACTTACCTGCGCAGAAACAAATGTGAACAATTTTCCCTATCTTGTGATCACTCTCTTATTGTTATTTCTCTATGCGGTAATCATTCGGTGAATTACCTGTTGGTGCACATGAGGTATTTTATTTCCCTCCCACCCACCGGTAAACCGGGTCGGGCATTCCCCTATCCGCGACCTGGGGGCGCGCTCTCTACGACGAGAGTCTGTATACTCCTATTACAGGTCAAATCTTGTTTATATGCAGCAAAACGATGCGGCATATACCTATATACCTAATTATGTTTCTCTCTTACCTATAGTATTACATATGTAATGATTATGCAGATTGACTACCATATAAATTTGTAACGGCGAACGCGTTTATAGAAGTATAACTTTACCGGTAGTCCCACTGGACTGCCACACCAGTTTTTTTTATTTATGTTTGTTTCATTGCAATCACCTTTTGAATTGCGTTCGTGATATAGTTTTTATTTCGTTCCAGATTTATTTTCTTATTATTAAGAGACAATTCTGAATAGCACGGTTAATTTTATTTCATTAATTGTGCTGCCAAGCATAATTTATTTTATTTCGTTAAATGTGCTTTTTCAATACGTAATGAAATCTAAGATGTATAAATTCATCGTTCATTTAGTACATCACATGTAGTGTTGATAATATTTTTTTCAAATTACTTTTAAATACGGCTACTGCGTAACCGATATTTTTTAATACGTTTATCTCTTAAACAGATATCACCACTTAAATTTTGTGTTACAAATGGTTGTTTTTTTGTTACAGGCTTTCGTTTCCGTCTGGACATTCCTCTTTCTCGATGTATACGATGCTATATTTTGCAGTAAGTATTTTTTATTATTAAGTGTTCTGTCTTTAATGTCTGTTTTAAAACCTTTTAATGGCCTTTTAAATTTTCTGAAGTACATAACGACGTTACTTATGCAAAGTAGCTATACCGCTTGTGTGGTTAAATGATGGGCGTTATATCGCCATCGTAGATAATCCTACAATGTATCATTGAATGTAAGCTTATACCAGAACGCTGTTAGTAATATAGTTGAATTTTTATATAATATTTAAAATATGTATTTACTTTTTTTAATACTTATTTTACAGTAATTTATACCGATTGAAGGTAAAACTATTGTCGAACTAATAACTAATGACGAATAACTTACTTTGTTTGCATAAACTTGTAACCTTTGAACGATCCATCAGAAACGGTGGGTGCTAATGGGTAACAATATAACTACCTCCGAAAGTTAGCAGCCGATGTAGAACAATAATACTCACAATTTTTTTTTGTGAACCAATTGTTAGGCCTCGTTTAGTTAGAAGGCCCTCCAATATCCTTCGATATTGGAGTTTATCGACTACACTGGAGATCTTGATAAAAATGGAGATCTTGTGGAATCGTGGGCTGAACAAAACAACCTGGCACTTCTACATGACCCAAACTGCCCTATTCGTTCCAAAGCAAAATATGGAAGAAAGGTTACAACCCTGATCTCACCTTCATCAGCATGTCTTTAGAGGACCGTTGCGTTAGGAAGGTATATAAGCCTATACCGAAGACGCAACATAGGCCCGTGGGAATAACCATATACAGCGCTATAAAAGCTCCCGAAATCCCTTTCAAACGAAGGTTTAATTTCAAAAAAGCGAACTGGGAAAAATTTACTGATGAACTGGAAACACAGGTAAAAAATATAGTCCCGATCCCCAAAAACTATGATGCGTTCATCAAACTTATAAAACGAATCTCATGTAAACACATACCCAGAGGATGTCAACAACATTACATATCTGGTCTGAACGATGAAGCAAAATACATTATGACAAAGTACACCGAACAATATATTGAAATTACGTGCCCCCAGACAACAACGTCTAAGTGCCCCCAGACAACAACGGTAGAGCGAGACTTTAAGTAAAATGGATATGACGCACAGTAGTAAGCAGGCTTGGAATATGATCAAAAAACTTAATGGTGATCCTACAAAGATGAAAGGGCAACTGCTGAAGCAACTGCTTCTGAATGGCAAAACAAACAATCGTTGCAAAACGCCAAATATTATAAGAACTCAAGACCAGGAAACAACTCTCTTACGAAACCCATTTACCATCGAAGAGCTCAAAAATGGTATTGACTGTATGAAAAATGGAAAATCACCTGGGGTGGATGAAATCCTAACAGAGCAGATAAAACATCTCGGGCAAAAAGCGAGACAATGGGTGCTCGATATATTTAACATCTGTCGCTCTACCTACCAGATTCCAAACTGTGGCGCAAATCAAAAGTAATAGCCCTTCTGAAACCTGGCAAAGACCCTGAACTACCGAGTAGCTACCGTCCGATATCTCTGCTATGCTATTTATATAAATTGTATGAACGCCTCATTTTGAACCGCATCCAGGAAACATTAGATGCAAAACTAACCCCACAACAAGCAGGCTTTAGACCAGGTAAATTATGCACAGGCCAAGTGCTGAACCAACAGAATACATAGAGGAGGGATTTGAGCAGAAAGAGATAGTAGGAGTAGCGTTGATAGACCTCACAGCGGCCTATGATACGATAAACCACAGAACCTTTGCTAACTAAGATCTATAACACTGTGCTTGACTATGACCTGGTAAATATCATTAGATCACTGTTGTGTAATAGACGCTTCTACGTTGTGCTAAGTGGAAAGAAGAGTAGATGGAGAACCCAAAAAAATGGCCTACCTCAAGGAAGCGTTCTGGCGCCTTCCTTATTTACCATCTACACCAACGACCAACCAATGCACCCTCAGACTGAGAGTTTTGTTTACGCTGACAACCTTAGTATAGCCGTAAAGGGGAAAACACTCACACAAGTAGAGTCGACAATGGAAGATGCTTTAAACATGATGTCAACTTACTACAAACAAAACTTATTAAAGCCAAACCCTACTAAAACCCAAGTATGTGCATTCCATCTCAACAACCAATGGCGCATTTAAAACTGAATGTTTCTTGGGAGGGACAACGCTTGAAACATACTGATAGGCCCCAATATCTTGAAGTGATACTAGACCGGTCACTAACGTATAAATTCCACTGTCAGAGCACAAGACAAAAGGTCTCTACGAGAAACCACCTTCTCCGGAAACTTGTAGGGAGCAAGTGGGGTGCAAACCCCCAGGTCTTAAAGTCAACAGCTGAGGCCTTATATTTCTCAACAGGGGAATATGCTTGTCCCGTCTGGGGTAGATCTAGACACGCCCAACAAGTCACCACGGCGTTAAATGAAACATGTAGAATCATTACCGGTTGTATGAAGCCTACCCCTCTACACCTACTGTACCGGGTAGCTGAATTCGCATCATTAGACGACCGTAGATGTGCCTCACATTATGTGGAGAAGTTCAGGCAAACTTTCGATGAACGGCACCAATTATACGGGTTTGACGAACCGCCAGGAATCAGCAGACTTAAATCAAGGAAAAGGTTTATGAGAAATGTCAGCGTCGAACCACTTGAAGTGTTCCCCCTACATCCAGAACGACCTAATGGAATGAACCTGGACTGGAGAACCTGACGGACACTCAACCGCATGCGCACAGGTGTTGCCCCTGTAAAACAGAACCTCATTAAATGGGTCATCAAGACAGATAGCGAGGCACTCTGTGAATGTGGGGAAATACAGAACGTGGAGCACCTGAGGGTATGCAGACTTTGCCCATCACAGTGCACCCTTGATGATTTATGGCTCGCAAATACAAAGGCTGTAGACGTAGCCCAAAATTGGGCAGAAAAACTGTAGTCGGATCCAGACTCGAAAAAGTAAAGTAATCGACTACACTGCATTATGTTTCTCTACTAAAGTGATATTGGCAACGTTGTATGGCCCAGTTCGTTCGTAAGTACGACGCAGTAAACACGTTTTTCTTACTTTTCGACGTTTTTACAGTTAAAACAACTTGTTTTCGACACAATCGTAAGGTAAGTTTGTTGTTTAGTGTATGTAATTATTCTACACGTTAATCTGAGATTCATTTACTTTTGTAAATTGGCAAACTTACATCAGAAATCACATTTATGTGTCCCACTGGGTTTGTTGGACGGGCCTTTTATATCCCATTTGATTTTTTCAGCATGTCAAGAAAAAGAAAGCTTACTCAAAAGGAATTGCAAGAACTGACTGATAATATATGCGACATATCTTCATGCGATGACATAGATGCAGAATCTAATTTATCTTCAGTAGACGACGAAGAAGACCCATTCAACGACAGTGATCATTCTTCTGATAAGTCATATATGGCATCAGATGATTGTCCTGACAATGAAGAAGAACACACTCGCTCATCAGATGGATCAAATACGTCTTCATTTGATTCTCCCGAAAATGAAGAAGACGAGAATACTTGCTTGCCAGATGGGAAAGATTTAATTGAAGGAAAGAAAGCCATTATCAATAAAAAGAAGAGAACTCCCTATGGTATGGACCTCAGTCGCAGTTGATCATAAACATAGATTTGCTGTTCCTCCTGAAATACCCTGTGTAGTTGATGAATCAATTAATATGAATTCGTCACGTCTAGAAATTTTCTTGAAAATATTCCCTCGAAGTTTATTTATTTTTATTACGAATTGTACAAACGAGAGAATTAAAATTTATAATCGCACGGAAGGAAAGTCTGAACCGCTTACTGATGCTGTTGAAGTAATGATTACTATTGGTTGTACTCTAATAATGTGCTACAACAGAGTGCCTAAACTGAGACATTATTGGTCTTCGCATGTCGGAAATAAAACAATAAGTAATGCAATATCAGAAAACAGATGCTTATTCATTATCTCCAAACTTTACTCCAATGGCCCAAAGAAACTTATGTAGAAGAACTATCTCCTGTTTCAAGTTCACATTTCAGAAGTATCAAACCGACAGTACTAGACAATCAATCACAATACGTACCTCTAAAACCAGTGAAAAGGGGTATAAAACTATGGTGCAGGTGTGATTCTAAGACAGGATGCACATATGATTTTAACGTTTACTCTGGAAATGAAGTTAAACAAGCTGATGGAACTCTAGGTGAAAGAGTAGTAAAAACGCTATGTGAATCGATACGTATTGATAATGTTGTTTTGACTTTTGACAGGTTTTTTACCTCTGTACGTCTAGTGGACACTATTAAATTCGCTGTAGTTGGTACATCCATTACAAATAGACGGAACATACCTAAGGAGTTTTCTATAAAAAGCAAAATGAACAAGGGAGACTCTGTATTTTTAACAAATGAGTTCCAAACCCTAGCCACAAATCGGCAAGATACCAAACAAGTATCCTTGTTGAGTAACTGTCATAAGAGTAGTTGTACAACTATTCCAAGGAAAAATAAAAGTGGGACCAAAATGGATGTTCGTTGTCCTACTGCTGTTGCTTTATACAACGAAATTATGGGTGGTGTGGACCTGGCTGACCAAATGAGTGAAGTGTATGAAATGGATAGACGATCCTGTAAATGGTGGAAAAAAGTTTTCTACCTATTACTTATGGTGTCAGTGGTAAATAGTTGGGTAATATATAATGATTTACATCGAACACGCAAAAAAACACCCCTTTTAGAAACTTTGTTTGAGCTATCAGAAGATGTCATTTCTAAAGGTAAAACTTCTACACAAATACAACTTAGGAAAAAAAGGGTAGGTAGACCTTCAAAGAGATCACGAAATAAAAATGGAGACCACATGCTGATTGAAACTGCTAAGAGACGGCGTTGTGTTGGTTGCTCAAGAATGAGTAAAGAAAGAAAAACCACAACCATCTGTACAATGTGTGATGTAGGTTTGTGTAAACATTGTTTCACA